GTTAAAAAACCTTAACAAGTTTTAACCTTTAAACCCAAACATGCTGAGAGGATAGATGAGTAAACATAAAAAAATGAAGTAAAAGTTGAGGTAAACATGTTTCCATTGACGACGTGTTCTTACTGCTGCCACTTTGGACAAAACCATTACATTTGAGCACTTCGAGTTTAAAAAAAAATCACTAAACTTCTAACCAATCAAGTCATTCAGAAAAGTCTGAGTGCTCTGAGAAAAGAGACGTTTTCTTTTTTTTTCTGCATGCAGCCTCATATGACCTGTATTTGTGAAGAATTCGAAAAAGTTACAGAGAGAAATGCAAAAACTGATAAGAAAATCAATCAGACCTTTGGTTTCTGCTGGAGTGAGCTTTTATGCCCAGTTCACACTAATAAATGACAAAATAAATTGATAATGAAATCATCTGTTTTGCAGCGAGGAACAAAAATACTTTCTTGCTTCAAAACAAAATTTATTTTCTCTCCAGGCAAAAAGATAAAAGTAAATTTCATCTCAGATTTAAACCTCATACATGCTGATTGCAAATGAACGTAGTCGTTGCTTTGCTCTGATTACCAAATCATTTGCTGCACTCCTTCTGCGCTGAAACAAATCCGAATGATGAAGTGATGTTTTTTGTTTGATGATTATTAAACAGTTTTATTCTTGGAGTGATTGCATTAACTTTGCTCTCTTATAATTTATTTTTACGTCCTTTTGAGATTATTTTAAAATACTAGTCGAACATGACACCACTCCTAAAGCTGAAACAGTTAAACATAATAAAACACATTTTATGTCATGTTTAAGTCTCGTCTTTCTGAATAAAGTGACCTCAGTGCTTCATGGTTTATTGTGCTCTGTCTTGTAAAAGAAACAACAAATCCTTGATAAACAAATTGCAGAGGACCATAAAAACATGAGCCAGCTCTCCTGAATAATTTAACAGCACCTCCACAAACTAAGGGCTAATGATGAATTAAATAGCAGTAACTTACAGTGGCAAAGGAATGGAAGAATGAAAGTTGTGTGGTGCACCCAGGGGAGAAACGTTTTGCTGCAGCAAATGAAAGAACAGCATTAAAGAGATGGTCCTGTTATTTTGATGGTCGGGGTTTTATTTGAAATAAATGGCGGTCAGCAAGCTCCCAGTTTGGATTTATGTGACTGGACTAATCACTTAAACATAGTTGTGCTCATTTTCCTTTTAGCCAAATGTTTGATTTAGTGATTTTTTTTTTTAGAATTTGGGAATTTTTTCTTCTTAAAACCCAAAGAATCTTCAGAAAAAAATAAAAATTTCCATCACAAATCAGGTGAGTCTGTTGCTGCTGCTGTTAATCACTGGTGTTTTAACTTTATTTTGTGTGGATTTAAATGTTCAATATGAGCTTTTATTCTAAGCATGTCGCTAAAATCAAACAAACCGGAAACAAAATGAGGAATTTAAATGAAAAGTCTTTAAAATGAGTTTGGATGTTTTGACGTTGTGTAGTTATGTAGTCAGTATCTTACATGCAGTAACAATCTCAGCTTAGAGTATTAAAATCTTTTCAATTATATAAAATAATCAAATTCTAAAACTTTCAAATACAGTGGTTTGCAAAAGTATTCATACCCCTTGAACTTTTCCATATTTTGTCACATTACAACCACAAACATAAATATATTTCACTGGAATTTAATGTGAAAGACCAACACAAAGTGGTATACAATTGTGAAGTGGAAGCAAAATTTTACATGAATCAAAACATTTTTTACAAATAAAAAACTGAAAAGTGCGATGTGCAAAAGTATTCAGCCCCCCTGAGTCAATACTTTGTGGAACCACCTTTTGCTGCAATTGCAGCTGCAAGTCTTTTAGGGTATGTCTCCACCAGCTTTGCACATCTAGTGACTGCAATTCTTGCCCATTCCTCCTTGCAAAACAGCTCAAGCTCAGTCAGATTGGATGGAGAGCGTTTGTGAACAGCAGTTTTGAGATCTTGCCACAAATTCTCAATTGGGTTTAGGTCTGGACTTTGACTGGGCCATTCTAACACATGAATATTCTTTTTTTTAAACCACTCCATTGTAGCTTTGGCTTTATGTTTAGGGTCGTTGTCCTGCTGGAAGGTGAACCTCCGCCCCAGTCTCAAATCTTTTGCTGACTCCAACAGGTTTTCTTCCAAGATTGCCCTGTATTTGGCTCCATCCATCTTCCCATCAACTTTGACCAACTTCCCGGTCCCTGCTGAAGAGAAGCACCCCCAGAGCATGATGCTGCCACCACCATATTTGACAGTGGGGATGGTGTTTTCAGAGTGATGTGCAGTGTTCTTTCTCCGCCACACATAGCGTTTTGCATTGTGGCCAAAAAGTTCAATTTTGGTCTCGTCTGACCAAAGCACCTTCTTCCACATGTTTGCTGTGTCCTCAACATGGCTTCTGGCAAACTGCAAACGGGACTTCTTATGGTTTTCTTTTAACAATGGCTTTCTCCTTGCCACTCTTCCATAAAGACCACATTTGTGTAGTGCACGACTAATTGTTGTCCTGTGGACAGTTTCCCCCACCTGAGCTGTGGCTCTCTGCATTTCATCCAGAGTCACCATGGGCCTCTTGGCTGCCTCTCTGATCAGTGATCTCCTTGTTCGGCCTGTAAGTTTAGGTGGACGGCCTTGTCTTGGCAGGTTTACTGTGGTGCCATACTCTTTCCATTTCTGGATGATGGATTGAACAGTGCTCCGTGAGATGTTCAAAGCTTGGGAAATCTTTTTATAACCTAAGCCTGCTTTAAACTTCTCCAAAACCATATTCCTAACCTGTCTGGTGTGTTCTTTGGACTTCATGATGCTGTTTGCTCCCCAATATTCTCTTAACCAACATCTGAGGCCGTCACGGAGCAGCTGTATTTGTACTGAGATTAGATTACACACAGGTGGACCCTTTTGAGTCAATAGCAGTCATCAGGCAACTTCTGAATGCAATTGGTTGCACTCAGGGAAAAGGGGGCTGAATACTTTTGCACGTCGCACTTTTCAGTTTTTTATTTGTAAAAAATGTTTTGATTCATGTAAAATTTTGCTTCCACTTCACAATTGTATACCACTTTGTGTTGGTCTTTCACATTAAATTCCAGTGAAATATATTTATGTTTGTGGTTGTAATGTGACAAAATATGGAAAAGTTCAAGGGGTATGAATACTTTTGCAAACCACTGTACATTCAGCTATGGGCTGATATTTTTTAGAATTAAGTGGGTTTTTTTAATAGATTTTCTTGGAACTAATTAATTTTTTTATTTGCAATTTTCTTGAAATTTATTAAACATTTGGTTATGATTGATTGAATTTGACTGTTCCTTGTTTTATTGCAAAATAAAACTCAGAATACATAACACGACAAGCTAGTTTTAATAAAAGTAGAAAATGAGGAAAAGAAAATGGTTGCATTAACAGTATTTAGAGTTTGTTGCCAAGCCTACAGATTTCTATAAATATGAACAGAGATGATTGTTCAATTACGAACATGATGAGAGTACACACTGTCCACAGACTGAGTACCAGATGCAGACATGTTAGCAGATGTGTGGAATAAAATGTACCGGTGGTGAGTTTAAACTTTCAAACTCTGGTGTTAAAGCCACTCTAAGCAAGAAACTGCTTTCTTCAGAGCTGTCAGTTATTATCACCATTATCTGAATCATCTGTGGTATTTTACCACCACAGGAACCACAATTATAATTTCTGTCAGTGGTGGCTAAAAGATGTGAAAATCACTCAAGAAGTCAAAATAAGCCTGGATGTGAATGGATCATGAAGGAGGAGGAAATCTGTAAAATGTCACATACATTTTGATACGTTCAAATTAAAGTGTTCATTTTTTTTTAAATCATTCGTTGTTTGGAAGCACAGAAAGTTTGTGCTTTTTGGTTAAAGTCAATTGTTTACAAAGGATCCTTACCTGCAGCTTCTGTAATACTCCATTGTTCCCATTTCTGTTTAGTGTAATAAAACCAATAATTGTGCCTAAATAAAAACGTCAACAACTTTGATTTGCAGGACATACCCTATTTATTTTAGTATAATACAAAAAATTAAATCCATAAAATCATCCATGAAGTTTAGTAGTACTATACTGGGATAAATATTTTTGCTTATGTATTTTAACTGAAATATTGGCCTCATTCACAAAATACCTGAGTCCAGAAATGAGACCGTGTCGTAAAAAGCGGTTGAAGCGAGCTTCCCTCTGACACTCCTTTGTGCCTCTGAGCGAGATAGTAACAGATCCAAGCAGGCAACATGATGTGAAAAAAATAAATAAATAAGAAAGGCAGTCATAACGAACTAATGTCATTAATGTGCGACCAGGCCACTGCTGGAACAACAACAAACACATGGTCGGCTGTAATGGCTGCCGTCTACCGGTGTTCTGTAAGAGTTGGTCTACCTGAAACAAGTTTCCCCACCAGAGGGGGCGCTCACAAGACACAGAGGATGAGATTGTTGTTGAGTGGGATTCTGATGCCTTTATTACAGAGGAGGAATAAACTTTTTGATGATGGTGAGCCTGATTTAGAAGGCTTTTGATTCAGCTTCATCCACACTTGTTAGAGCCTCGTAGCTCTATCTGTTTGTTATATCACACCAGTAAACAAATAAGCATTGCTAAATGTCACATTGATAGTCTTTGTTATAGTTATTGTTATACATTTGTTGTTGTGTACCTTTTAGTACATATGTTGTTAAATAAAATAAACAAATTGATACAACAGTCAAATGATAATTTTACTGATATGTATAAAGACTGCAAAGGCTGAAAAATCCTGAAGTTCGTATGAAATTAGAGGTGGTGTGAGAATTTAATTTTATTATGCTTTTTAAGCTAAAAATGGGTGGGGGGGTCGTTGTATTATTCATGGGATCGTGTTATACATGAATAAATACAGTATGTCTTATACAGCTGCATTTTTAATTTGAGCCGGCTTCTAAACACAACTTTGTTATTTCTGTTTGCAGATGATGTGGTCGTGTTTGTTTTGTTGTGCGGACATTGCTCTCACCACTCGTCACCGGGGCAGTTTGGATCAAGGTTAAAGAGGCTGGAATTCAATTCTCCTCCTCCGTGTCTGAGGCTGTGGACAGGATGGATGAGTTGTTATCAAAGGTACTGTACTAAGTTCTTAAGGCTTCAAACCCCAGTCCTCAAACTGTGGGACCCGTGTCACTGCTGGTACCCTGGACCTCTCTTGTGGTTCTCAGAAGTCACTGAATTGTGATAAAAAGCTATAGAGATAAAGATGAGTGGTTTAACCAGATTACAGTCTTGGCTTCTATCAGAAACGACTTGAAACAAAAGAGAAGTGGATATTTTTGAGAACCCCTGTGGCATCTGGAGTGAGTGGTTTTTAACCCGTGTCCTAGTGGCTACTTAAGCTGCACCAGTAAGTCTCTGTAGGAGCTTTTAGCTGCTTAAAGTGCCAAACTGCAGAGAAATGTTTGTTTTGTGAGGCAGAATAAAACTGCAGTGAGTGTGTGGATCATGTTGTCATCCCAGCCTTCAGCCTGGGTTAGGTGTGTTTTTGTTTGTTTGTATCTCAGTAGCTTCCTTCTATGATCAGATTGTTTGGAGTCGGGAGTTAAAGACGAGGTACAGGCTGTTTTCAGGTTAATTAGGATTCCATCTATTCAGTTTAAAAGTTAAAATGTGAAGATAGTAAAAATAAAAATGGGATTATTTAAAGATTGAATGGTCTTTGTTTGATCTTCTCCAATATTCAAACTTTAATAATGGTTTGCACAAACACCATTTTCTGAACCTTTACATTACTTTAAAAGCATTCCAACACAAAAATTATCTTTATTTTTTATCAAACATTACCCTCAGCGTCACTAGAAGCTTGATTCTCCTGTAACTATTTGTTTGCAATTAACCAAAGAATTTGCAAAATAGTGTTTCGATAAACAACTATGTGCTCATTAAAGATGCTAACGTTTTATTATTGAATGTGTTTTTCAGTGTTTCATTTTGCAAAAAGATGACTTAAGAACATCTTCAAGAACCAACAATAACGTCTAATTGCCTTCAATTCAAACCTGGAGGTTAGATCAGTTAATTATAAACTCATCATAGCTACAAACATGAATTGTGTCTCTCTCTTTCTTTTTATTAGCCTTTTAAAAGCACTTTGTTCAGAGTGTATCCTGTTTGATTTCTCAGTGCCAACTACAGTAAGTCTTAATTACCTGAAGTGTAATTATTCTCAGAGTTTCAGCTCAATGACTCCATCTGCTCATTAGAGACTTTCGTTTTCTCTTTTAGCCTTTGAGAAAATCTTAAAATTTAAAAACATAAGACAGTTTGGAGTCGAGAGACAAATAAATACTGGTGTCCGCATTCCTAAATAGAGAAGTAATAATGAGAGTGGATCCATAAACAAGTCTTAAACAAGGACAGCCGGCTGTGATTAATGTGAAGCATACTCGTTTTTTAAAGGAAGACCTTGGTTTGAACAGACATTGTCTCAGTTAACAAGTGTCCTTCATAACTTATTGATGCTGAGTGTTGACTGTGAAATAACACAGTGTTGTAGTCAACATCACCTAACCCAAGACCAGAGTGTATGAAGATCGAGACAAGAAAGGAGACCAAGACCAGAAATAAAACGGGGACTAGAGCCCTATAGGGTTGTGTATTGGCAAGAATTTGGCGATACGATACATATCATAACAGAGGGGTCACGATACAATATATCCCGATATATTGCGATACTGTAAGCAAGGCAATATATAGCGATATATTGCGATTTTTTGTCCAAAAAATTGTATTAAATAAAAACCTCTTACTGAAAAAAAAAAGCTAATGTTTACTTGCAATGCTTACATTGTCTCCTACAATGCTAATGCTACCCTTACTCTCTGGCGCTCAAGAGGTAGAGGAGCCAAAAGGCTAGCTCACTGCTGCCAACTAGTGGTCAGAGGCWGAACTACAACATAAAAATGAGCGGTTGGCAAGAAAGTTGACATTTTAAACCTTAATAAAAAAATCGATACAGGGCTTTAGAATATCGATACAGTATCGGGAAATGAAATATCGCGATATTTCAGTGTATCGATATTTTCTTACACCCCTAGAGCCCTAAAACATAAAGTATACAGAACACAGATGGCTAACTGTATATTGGGGTGGTCCCCAAATGCAAACGTCTACTTTTCCAAGGTGCTTCTTCATTTTTTTGTTCCATTTGGGGAAAAAATAAATGGGGTGAAATTTCATAAGATTTGAAATATTAACCACTGCTGCTCAATCCCTGTTTTTGTGCCATGCGAGTAAAATTTCGAGTTCTGATTCTGTTATTGCCACGGCCACCAGCGAGATGTTAGCCAGAAATCTGTGCTGTCTGAGTAAAGAACTGACTTATAGAAGACTTACAGTATATTTGACAGCAGCTTTGCACATGATGATCGTAGCTGTTCCCAAGGAGGAAGGTCACAATGATCCTCAGTCATGTGCAACAGTGGACCTAGAAGAAAATGAAGCTATTGTTACCAAAACTATGGCAGATTTTGTTACATCTGCCTCAAGTCCCATTTTGAGGCATTCAGCATCAACATGAACTACCTTGTCAAGGACCCATCAGAATGGGAGGACGACCCATCAGTCATGGCAGGTTCTGTGTTGCATTAGGATGCCAATGACCATTGATTAGGATGTAAGCGACTAATGATTAGGATGTCAATGACTTTAATAAACAGGGAATTCATCCAGGATTGCAATCAAGTGATCAGCAGTGGCAGTACATGCTGCAAGTTGTTCGGTGACATCGATGTCAGAAAGTCATGACCAAATGCCACTCTTCATGACAGTTTGTTCTCACTAAATATGTGAACTATGACACTTATTTATTTTATATTTGTCTTGTAAGCCCATTTAAATGAGGGAGGATTGTTGTTCATCCATCCATTGTCTTTTTTCTTTCAGGTTCATGGGGGTTTCTGGTGCCCACAGCAATCATTGTGTAAGGGGCAGGGTACACCGTGGATAGGTCACAAGTCCATCATAGGGCCACAAATACAGTGGTTTGCAAAAGTATTCATACCCCTTGAACTTTTCCATATTTTGTCACATTACAACCACAAACATAAATATATTTCACTGGAATTTAATGTGAAAGACCAACACAAAGTTGTTACAGGCCGAACAAGGAGATCACTGATCAGAGAGGCAGCCAAGAGGCCCATGGTGACTC